CATTCACTTTGGGGGTACGTTTCATCAAGCCGTCACTTTCCTGAAAAGACAAGGAAAGTCCAAGAGCTATATTCTAGCTAGATTACTTTTCACCGAGCCCGGAATAGAACCATAAGGCGCCGCTCGGCTTGGAGGGTACGCAGCGGAACTCTCCGTTAGGACCTGTAAATTCCCGTGATCAAAGTGACTCCTTGTTGCACTCCGCAGCTTCACAAGACTTTACATGTTTTAACAGAGCAAGACCTGTTAATTAATATGAACTAGCAAAGAGAACTAGCAGAAGTGCAAAATACCCTTCCTAGCCGAAAAAAAGCCGAACGGCGCTAAATTTTTTTCTTTTTCAGTCAGTTTTTATTTTTAGATGGATTCCACAGTCCCGGCAGAACAGTCATCACCTTCCCCAGATCTGTCGGAATACAGCACGTCATCATCCGTTGCCGGACAAGCGCCCAGTTTCATAGTAACGATGCCTCGTCAAGTTTATTCAAAGGTTTGTGAAATCCACTGCAACGTCTGGAAAAAAGGCTTTAGGTGCTCAATCTCTAGGCTCCAATTCCAATTTATTCCAATCAGATTTCGAACTTGGGTACCGTTCAGAAAGACTCCTGTTGCGCTATCACGTGCCAGCCAGTTAGTATTCCTATCCCGTTGACTCGGAACGGGAACCTGGCGTCAAATCATTTAGGCAGCGTTCAGACTTCGCGACGGCAAAAAACTGAAAGTCATGCGCATTTTGTTTCGTCTGTATGCTTTCACACTACTCAAAGTTCACTTCAAAAAGGAGCTACATCCGTCTATTACGATTTCATTTTTTATGTAAAATCCACTTGCCCCTAGGGATGTATATTTTTGAAACCAGTTGCCAACACCATGTTATTATGGAATGTGCTCTTAAGGTAAACGAAAATATACAATTGAAATGCACTTTCACTGGACAACCATTGCCAGCGGTGACTTGGCAAAAGGATGGCAATCTCGTGGACATGAGCAGGTAAGAAGTGTGACCTATGTTTCCGATTCCGATTTCCGATTTGATGTTCCCGCGCCCTCTCTGGATATCACAGCCCTCCCTATGAGGATGCAGTATGTACTAGTTTTGCATCTCAAAAAGGCGAGAGGATAGCGCCGTTCGCTAGTGAAGAGTCGGCCGCCCCGCCCACCTGGCCAGCATAGGGTTCTATATAGGGCATTTTCCATGATTTTTTTTCTGCTTTTTTCTTCACTACTGGATCACGTATTATATGAGCTCCATAACTCATTATTCTTGAAAATGGACTCAGCTTTGAAGGCTAAGCCAAAGCAGTTATGGCAGCCAGGTGGACGGGGGTGACACCCTCTTCACAAGCTCCATCCTCTCGTATTTTTGAGCTGCGTCCTCCACCCTTGTCGACAAAGCTACGATATCTAAGGAGGCTGTAGGCACATCAAATGAACGCGGGCGCTGCCTTTGAGGCATACGGTTCCTTTCAAGGGTGAACTTTACTCGTTCAGCTCATGATTGATTTTATTAGGAACTATACCATCATTTCTGAGGATGGGATTACAATTCTCCGACTGGAATGCACCACACTTGAAGATAATGCTATATTTTCGTGCACTATTGCAAACAGCTTCGGAACGGAAACAGCTAGTTGCAAGGTCATCATCGAAGGTTAGCAAAGATTTTTGGAAATTTTCGCGTGCGTTTGAAACCAACGGAAATTAAGGGTCTCTTGTGGTGAATTAGATTTGAAGGTGCTTTTGGAAATTTTGGCTTGCTATGACCGGATTGTAATTAGGGAGGAGGGGTGTGAGGCGGTATAGTCATCGTACTGTGCACTATCCTACGAAAAGACGGACGGATGAACGGTAGCATGTATTGTAGCAGGGCAAGTTGTACGTTGAAAAACCCCAACGGGGATTATATCTGATCCGTGCAGTGAGAGGGTGAGAATTTTTTTTGATAGCTGATTTTTCCGCTGTACACAACGTTTGAAGACCCATGTTGGTGGTGGGGGTGAGGGTGAGTGGTCGTAATTGCTGGTCGCATTTCGGAAGGGTGGTCGTATCTTTCCCCTCTCGACTGGTAGGCTTTTCGGGGAAACTGAAGAAGTTTCGTGGAGAACGGGCTGGTGGCGCGTCAAATTCAGTAACCTCACCGTAGCGCTCCATCATCCACAGCAAACAAGACTGCATGGTGCCCTGGCTGGCCCGTGACCTGCGAATGAAGAGATCCTTTTGACGAAGGGGAAGGTACTACCCATATTTCGAGGGTTTCACTGTAACCACAATCTGAGCGATGTTTGCTTGGGGAGGGTGACACTCAACACTTTCGCTGGTTCTCTTTGTTGGTTTATGTTAAGCTAACAGGTCGCAAGACTGTCAAACCTGTAAACTGCTGTGAAGCTGCGGAAGTGTGCGAGTGAGCCACTTTCGGTCGGAGAACTTTTACAGGCTGGCCTGTACATGCTTAGCTGAGTACCATTCGATTCCCACCTAAATAGATCTGCGCCCAGATTTGTTTTATCCAACGAGAGAGAGAAGATGAGTGAAACAGCCGATGCGCTGCACGAGAAGTTCCGCTGGAGAGAAGCTGGGAAACCGTGTCCATCACTATTCAAAAGCAGGGGCAAAAGTTAAGAACTTGGTTTTTGACTTAATGGGTCTCACTGTTACAGAAAAAGCCCCCAGAGTAAGCCCTACAGAATCTCATGTAGGTGTATTCAGATGACGAGCTCGAGCACCAACGAATTGGCACACAAGTTATCTGCGACCGTGAAGATGCAAGTGGAGAGGTGAATGCGGTTGTGATGAGTCCCCATAAAACCACAACGACGTTCACGTTCTCTTCACCCGAAGTTGTTGAGAAAACAGAGGAGCACCGAGAAGCTGCTGAACAGCGCTCCGTTGAAACCATGGATGGGCAACAACCATTCTTCCTTCTTCCATTGGAAGATGCTACCTTGAAAGGAAATACCTGCACTCTGAAATGTATTATTATGGCCACACCCACTGCACATGTCGACTGGCTGGTAGAAGACGAGTTGGTCGCCAAGGATGAGTAAGTCAAAATAATTCGTTGTCTCTCATACCTAAGCTTATGAAGGTGCATATTTCAGGGACCACAGCCTCATCTACGAGGATGGAATAGCCATTCTGAAAATTCGCAACATCCAACGAGATGAACTTCGTGTATCCTGTACGGCGTCGAATTGTCACGGCCGAGCAGAAACGCTATGCCATCTGAAAAGAGACTATACCGACGCCTCAGTGCGTGACGAGAGACAAAGCCCACGCTTCATTATTCCACTGAAAAATATATGCACGTGTACTGAAGAAGTAAAGCTGAAGTGTGTCGTCGAAGGTGAACCGGTACCGGAAATAACCTGGTTCGTCGATGGAAAAGAACAAGTAGAAAGGTATGTAGTATAGTCCTTTTTTCCAAATTGTTTTGTTTCCATTCAAGGATAGACTGTACACTCCCCTTTGCGGATCATGGCCCTTGCCGTGTTAGGAGAAGACGGGCCCAAAGCCGCAGCAGTGTGCCACCTCCTCCTCCGAAAAGAGAAAGAATGGGTCGGGGTGGTGTATCCGATACCATTCCATACTCTGCTTGCAGTGCTGCACGGGCAGCCACTCGCTTACCGTAGCCAAACACGCTACTTATCTGCGCCCTCTTACTTTTGCTTTGTTCTTTGACAGTGTGTGCGCAGCGAAATTTTGCGTCTTCGCAAAAAGCTACACATTGAGGATAGCGCGATCGAGATATGGAGACCGCACTCGGGTACCTCTACCCTCTTAGCCGTGCGGTTTTGTTGTAGAGAACAAAATGAATGACGCTCCTTGCTGTAGTGAACAACCAAAGGTGAGAGTAGCGCGTTTGGCCACAGGTACAGTGGTCATCCGGACAGTTGATTAGGCGGTCAAAGGGTCGCAGACGCGGCTGCGGCGCGTCACGACCGCGGCGATCAGCTGTTTCCAGCCTATTTAGCCATTTTCTCAATTTTCACTGTTTTTGGCTGCTTTTCTTAAGGTTAGTTGTTCCTTGTCTTCACAAGGTGAATTATGATTGAGATTTCTCTAATTTTTGCGAACAATCAAACAATTAAACAAACAATTAACAAATACCTAAAAAATCGCAAAAAACACTTCATTACGAAAACAAGAAGAGAATCCACCCCATAATATACTTCATAAGGACAAAAAACAACTTACCTTGGAAAAAAAGTAAGTAACACGGTGAAAATTGGGAAGAAAACGGCTGAATAGGCTGGAAAAGTTGATGGCCGCGGTCGTGACGCGCCGCCGCGTCTGCGACCCTTTGACTGCCTAATCAAATGCCCGGAATGACGACTGTACACGTATGTCTCGTCGCGCGGCACTTCTATCCCAATCTTCTGCCTGTGGGTGGGGTCCAAAGGACATTTGGCTTTCACAACCCAGCAGCTTCCTTCCGCTCATGGTCGCGTAAAGGACCTCGTTCCATAAGCTGTGGACGTGTTCATCTTGTACATGGGAAGGATAAATATCAGCACGGAGATGAGCGAGCAGCGTAACTTCAAGCCCTCCTTTACCAGCCAAATAAGAGATAGCCGCCACACTACGGCAGTATCGTTGAAAATCATTTGCAGGGTGTATTAATCGCAAAAATAGTCAATTTAAACGGCGCCTGATTTCAGAACAACGTACTATGATGGTGTGGCTGAACTGGACATCCCAATCTTGAGTGTTTCGCATGAAATCAAATGCTGTGCAAGAAACTCAGCGGGAATGGCAGAGTGCCATTGTGTCGTAACAAAAATCCCTGTCGAAGGGGCAGCATCTACGCTTCTGTCGCAGAAGCCATACTTTGTGCATCCATTGCATGATCAATCGACGGGGAAGGAGTCGTTAACGTTGCGAGTGGTGGTCGCTGCATCACCGCCTGCCACACTGCAATGGAGCATCGACGGCAAAACTGTCACTGGAGATGGGTGAGTTGACAATCCTTATGGAATTTCACTTTGAAAACGATTTGTGATTAATTTAAGCGATGTAAGCGTGATCTATGAGGATGGTATTGGTATTCTCTCTATGAGCAGTCTAAAGACAGGAGTAACAGAAGTTTCTTGTGTGGCCAGAAATGAATACGGGATCTGCACAACTAGTGCAAAAGTGACAAGAGTTGGAGGGAGCGATTTGAGAGAAGATGTTGAGCAACAGGTACGGATCTATTTATTACACCGCGTTCGGATACTAAATTAGACGTTTTCTGGCTGCTCGAGCTAACAGAGGCGATGGAGGGCGAGCAGCGTTGTTGCTGACTTGATCGTTTGCGCTCTCCCGCATAGATAGTGGTTCAGTTAGTCTTACACAGTTAGAGCGCAGGCGACCACAGTCGGGGCGGTCCAGTCTCGTTACCTTGCTCAACTCTAGAAGCCCTATTTTCCATTCATTCACTGCATATAGTGATCATGTGTAATGAAACAAAATTGGCTTTATTCAACTATTATTTCCCTAAAATCCCGAGATTTACTTTACTGAGGCTGTAGTTATAGTGCTCATTTAATGCCCTAATCATGAATGTGCCATATTTCGAACGCCGGCCCCATTTGACGCCACTACCCTTTTACACCAAAATCGAAGTAAACTCGTATGCTAGGGTTAATCTGGAGACGGGCAAGAGAATCGTGTTTGCCGCTCCGCCGCGCGCGGCGATGGGCGCGGCGTTTTCTTACTCGTGTTAACCTGTCGATTGGAGCACCGGACTTCATGTAGACCCCGTCATCGTAGACATTCATGACTATTTTCGGTTCTGAATTGCCTTTGTCGCCATCTACTACCTGGAACAACGCCAGGAGCGAGCGCAACGCCCAACAGCGCGGCGAATTACGATTCTCTTGTCACATGCCCGGGTTAGTCGGCGGTCTGATCACTAATATCAGATACTTGTTTAGCACCAAGTTCAAGGTAGTGGTAATGGTCGCTGTGGGCGAGCCTTTGTCGCCAACGTCATTGGTGGAAGGGATGAGTGGGGTGTGGCCAAACGCCCTCTCGCAGCCCTTCCACCAGTGATGTTGGCAACTAGCCGCCTTACAGCAATCGTGTCCTCTGTGGACACCATCTTTTTTTTCACTAAATTCCATTTAAACTTACCTAGTGGGACGCTTGATGTCCTGATCACAAATATGGCATTTATTTTAGAACTCCGGCGCTGATTAAGGGCACTCTGGCCGTTTGCATTCTGCTTAGACTAAACAAAAGGGGTAGGAGATCACTCTTTCTACCGAGTTCGACCTTAACGTAGCGCTAAATGGCATTGGCGCAGAGGAATGGACGTGTAGTTTGTGAGCCTTACCCTGAAGTCCCGTAGATAAGTTCGCTATTAGATAAGTCCGCGCGAGGTCGCCATCGATGCTGTACTCTGCCTGCAGAGTTTAGCAAAAAAAATAATCCTGAGATCTTGTAGTTGACTGCAGTCCAAATACTGACTAAGTAATCCAAATGCAAAGTTTGCTACCAAGTTTATTCGGCTTTTATTACTTTAACCACGGCGGCTTCCTCTCTCTCTCACACACGCACACGCACGGACGCACGCACACAGTGATATTATCAAAAATAAGCACCATCCATTTCAACTCCCACCTCCTTTTTTTCGGAGCGCCTTCATAATAGAAGGTGTCGTCACAGCCACAGTATCACACTGGATTGATACTGCTACAACGACTTATTTTTATTTTTCTCTGCAATGATTTTCTTCTAACCATTCCCCTATCGAACCCCAAGTTTTAACGGACATATTACATATTAGGTCATCCCATTCAAAAGTGCCGAGACATATAGAGGAATGGCAGAAAAGCAAAGGGGATAGAGCAGCGGGCTACTATACCATTTGGAGGCTAGTACCTTTAGCTATGTATCTGTGAAATTTGGCGAACCTACCCACAGAAGAAGTTCTCGAGAAATTGAAAAGAAGCCGAGTGGTGAAAATCAGCGCCGGATTTTCAAATCAGGCGTCATAAGAGGAAAGTGCGCTGCTCAAATTTGACCTGCGCCGGACCAGTAGTTGTGTGTGGTGTTCTCGAAATACAAGGTGGAAGGTTTGGTTCAGGAGCCCGAAGAAGGAAGAAAGGAAAAAATTGTTGTCGTGGATGGTCCCATAATATTCATACTGCTAAGTACTAATGATCACAAAGCCTTGACCTTTTCGAGCTCCCCCGCGAGGCTGACATCCCTGCTGTAACCGCTGACTGACAAACTGAGGATGGTCGAGAGGGTGTGCGCATGGGTATAATTCTTGATTTCTAATTTTCTTGTAGAAGCACGAACGCAGTACCGATTCTATGCCTCTAGCAGTAATGTTCTCAGCATGAGATGTCATTCACGACTGTGAAAACGCACCCCGGCCCTAGATGAAATATGGGTGGTCTTGGACCTCGAGCCAAAACTCACAATCGTCAATTTTGTATGAATGCAGATGAGAAGCCGCCCGAGTTCTACCATGAGGAGTTACGTGGGCGCAAGTGGATGATCATCATAGCGAAGGATTCCCACACTGTGGCTTTCAGGCGGCTCTATACAGAGAATAAAATCGTCGCTGTCGTGTATATTGCCTGTTCCTCGGCAATCAGATCGACAAATGGATGATACCACACAACTACAAGAAGGCCACCGTTGCTCGTCATAGTGCCAGACCCCGAGTAACTGTATTGTAGGGCAGTGCTGGGACACAAACAATACTGAGACCTGGGTTCAATCGCCTCATTCGCCCAACACAAGCCGTTCGATTTCAACTGTTCTGGTCAGTCGAGGGTACTCTCCGACGGCAAACGCTACAATGTTTTGTCATTCGCCGAAATTGGCAGCAACAGCAATTTACTCGCACTTGTTGAAAAACCGAAGGTACCAGAGGTCCAAACGCTTTCGGGGCCCTGGGAGCGGGTCATTGGTGAAGGAGGGATCTACTTAACTCAAAGCCAAAATATTACTTTTCTATCTGTTTTTCTCTTCGTTTTATATGAATAAGATCTTCGGCACTTTTGAATGGGATGACCTAATACATAGTGACGAACTGATACACATAGTCATTACTTTATAGAATAAGGTGATATTATTATTGTTATTTGTATATTTTTTCATTCTTGAACTTTCATGCGTTTGCTCCTGTTAGGTTTCCTTGAGATACGACCTGCTGTTTTCCACTCTCATGTATACCTTCTGTAAACGAAATAAACAAGCAAATGCAAGTGCGGTTAAGAATAGGTACGCCATGCGTGAGGTTAATACGAATGACTTGACAAAGCGCACAACATCCAAAACACTCACATAAAGCACTCTTGTAGAAGGCGGTGAGTCAAAACCGCGCAAGCATGGTGAAGACTATAGGAACATCAGCTGCAACCAGTTTTACGAACACAAAAAGATCATGTACTAGAAATTATTGCAGCTCTCACAAAGCTGCTTGTGCGCGCTAACACGTATGAAGTAAACTAGTTAGTTGCTTGCAGGAAGCAAAGCGAAAGGAAGTCGAGCAGTGGAAAGATGAAGACGAGTGCGACAAAAACGCAGAAACTTTCACGACAACCGAGATTGCACTCTCAAAGAGGGAAGAGAGAGCCTGTTTAGAAGTTGACCTCATCAGTACCATTTTCAAATTATACATGTCCACCATGGTCATAAGCAGGAAAAGAGGCGAGCTCGAGTCCCATGAATTCGAAATGATAGAGGAAAAACCACAATTAGAGAAACACACAAAAGGCGAAGAAGTAAAACTCAGTAAAGAAATGGACGTAACCGTAGACGAAGAACCTTGGAATATGGTGGAGGTTCGAGAGCATGTCGAACTAGACCACAGCCTGGAACACGTTCTTGAATTTGAGTCAAAAGAATCGAATTTGATAGACGTAGGGCTACAACGGAAAAGCGAGCATGAAAGCGAAAAGCTGAATGAAATGACATTCGAAGAATTGACACCTGCAGAGGAAGTGAAGCCTGAAGAGATCAAGCCACAAGAGGAAATCAAGCCTGTGGAGGAGAAGGTACCGCAGGAAGTCACCGAGACAAAAGAGCTGGTAGAAGTGGCAGTCGAACGAGAAATTACGATTGAGGAAATTGCTGAGGCAACTGCCACAATCGAAGCTATTTTCACAAAGACCGAAGAAATATCTGGTCTCGAAATCGATCTCATCACCAGCCCTTATGATGCTGTTGCTCAAACTGCAACGGCACCAGCTAAGAAGAAGACTCCTGAGGAACAGAAACCCGCAGAGGAGCTGAAACCTGCAGAGGAAGAGAAGCCTGAAGAGATCAAGCCACAAGAGGAAATCAAGCCTGTGGAGGAGAAGGTACCGCAGGAAGTCACCGAGACAAAAGAGCTGGTAGAAGTGGCAGTCGAACGAGAAATTACGATTGAGGAAATTGCTGAGGCAACTGCCACAATCGAAGCTATTTTCACAAAGACCGAAGAAATATCTGGTCTCGAAATCGATCTCATCACCAGCCCTTATGATGCTGTTGCTCAAACTGCAACGGCACCAGCTAAGAAGAAGACTCCTGAGGAACAGAAACCCGCAGAGGAGCTGAAACCTGCAGAGGAAGTGAAGCCTGAAGAGATCAAGCCACAAGAGGAAATCAAGCCTGTGGAGGAGAAAGTACCGTATGAAGTCACCGAGACAAAAGAGCTGGTAGAAGTGGCAGTCGAACGAGAAATTACGATTGAGGAAATTGCTGAGGCAACTGCCACAATCGAAGCTATTTTCACAAAGACCGAAGAAATATCTGGTCTCGAAATCGATCTCATCACCAGCCCTTATGATGCTGTTGCTCAAACTGCAACGGCACCAGCTAAGAAGAAGACTCCTGAGGAAGAGAAACCCGCAGAGGAGCTGAAACCTGCAGAGGAAGAGAAGCCTGAAGAGATCAAGCCACAAGAGGAAATCAAGCCTGTGGAGGAGAAAGTACCGTATGAAGTCACCGAGACAAAAGAGCTGGTAGAAGTGGCAGTCGAACGAGAAATTACGATTGAGGAAATTGCTGAGGCAACTGCCACAAAAGAAGCTATTTTCACAAAGACCGAAGAAATATCTGGTCTCGAAATCGATCTCATCACCAGTCCTTATGATGCTGTTGCTCAAACTGCAGCGGCACCAGCTAAGAAGAAGACTCCTGAGGAAGAGAAACCCGCAGAGGAGCTGAAACCTGCAGAGGAAGTGAAGCCTGAAGAGATCAAGCCACAAGAGGAAATCAAGCCTGTGGAGGAGAAAGTACCGTATGAAGTCACCGAGACAAAAGAGCTGGTGGAAGTGGCAGTCGAACGAGAAATTACGATTGAGGAAATTGC